GGGGACCGCGGGGCCCCCTCGGCGGGAGAAGGGGGAGGGGCGAGGCGCGAGGGGTGGAGGAGAAGGGGGAGGCACTTCCGGTCTGGGCCCCCCCTTAACCCTCCTCCCCCCTCCCAAGCCCTCCCGCGCAGGTGCAGAGCGAGGGAGAGCGGGGAGAGGGACTCAAAACATCACACAAGGTGCCTCGCAACCGCGTGCAGGGACGCGCGGGCTGAGCCCCACTTCCCCGGTGGGGACACACAGCCCACCAGCACAGACTGACGTACAGTATACCCCAACACAGTCTAAAAAGGCCGGGAAGGGAAGAACAGGACACTCAGACTGGGCCCCAGGGCAGGGAGAGACAGCCGTCGCCCCAAGAAAGCCCAGGCAGAGGGACATACATGCACCACAGCTCACTAGAGAGCTGGGGGCTGGGGGTGAGAGAGGAGAGAGAGAGACACATAGAGAGAGACAGAGAGAGAGAGAGAAGCAGGGAGAAGAAGAAGGAGAAGAAGAGGAAGGAAGGAGGGAGGAAGGAGAAAGAAGGAGGAGGAGGAGGAAGGAGAAGAGGAGGAAGAGGAGGAAGAGGAAGGAGAAGGAGAAAGAAGGAGGAGGAGGAGGAAGGAGAAGAGGAGGAAGAGGAGGAAGAGGAAGGAGAAGGAGAAAGGAGGAGAAGGAAGGAGAAGAGGAGGAAGGAAGGAAGGAGGGAGGAAGGAGAAAGAAGAAGGAGGAGGAGGAGGAAGGAGAAGAGGAGGAAGAGGAGGAAGAGGAAGGAGAAGGAGAAAGAAGGAGGAGAAGGAAGGAGAAGAGGAAGGAAGAAGAGGAAGGAAGGAGGGAGGAAGGAGAAAGAAGAAGGAGGAGAAGGAAGGAGAAGAGGAAGGAAGGAAGGAGGGAGGAAGGAGAAAGAAAAAGGAGGAGGAGGAGGAGGAAGAGGAGGAAGGAAGGAGGGAGGAAGGAGAAAGAAAAAGGAGGAGGAGGAGGAGGAAGAGGAGGAAGGAAGGAGTGAGGAAGGAGAAAGAAGTAGGAGGAGGAAGAGGAAGGAGAAGGAGAAAGAAGGAGGAGAAGGAAGGAGAAGAGGAAGGAAGAAGAGGAAGGAAGGAGGGAGGAAGGAGAAAGAAGAAGGAGGAGAAGGAAGGAGAAGAGGAAGGAAGGAAGGAGGGAGGAAGGAGAAAGAAAAAGGAGGAGGAGGAGGAGGAAGAGGAGGAAGGAAGGAGGGAGGAAGGAGAAAGAAAAAGGAGGAGGAGGAGGAGGAAGAGGAGGAAGGAAGGAGGGAGGAAGGAGAAAGAAGTAGGAGGAGGAAGAGGAAGGAGAAGGAGAAAGAAGGAAGGAGAAGAAGAGGAAGGAAGGAAGGGAGGAAGGAGAAAGAAGGAGGAGGAGGAAGAGGAAGGAGAAGAGGAGGAAGAGGAGGAAGAGGAAAGAGGAGAAGGAAGGAGAAGAAGAGGAAGGAAGGAGGGAGGAAGGAGAAAGAAGAAGGAAGAGGAGGAGGAAGAGGAGGAAGAGAAAGAAGAGGAGGAAGAGGAAGAGGAAGAAAAAGGAGAAGAAGAAGAAGAAGAGGAGTAGGAGAATCAAGACCCAAAAAGGGATGTGGGGTGGGGGGCAGAGGAGGAGAAGGAAGTTGAGAGAAGAACCAAGGAGAGAATCTGGATGTTTTGCCCTTATATTTCCTATTTCCTCTGCTTCCCCCAGCACACACATTTCTCTCTCCCTGTCTCCCTCTCTCTGTCTCTCTCTCTCTGCCTCCCTCTCTCCCTCTCCCCCCGCCTTGCCTCCCTCCAACACCAAGGCCCTGGAGCTTATCTTCCCCAAACAAGCACCGGTTGGTTCCACCTCTTCTTCCTGAAAGTTCTCATTGAAGAACAAGGACACAAAAGTGACCAAATGTATTTAGGTATTGACTCAGTCAGGGAACGTGGGGTCCACGCACTTTAAAAGCAGGAGAGGCAGTGAGGAGGGGGAGGAGGAGGAGGAGGAGAGGCCAGATGCCAGGAGAGGGTACACACTGCAGGAACACTCAGCTCCAGCGGGGATGCTGGGGACCAGCAGTGAGACGCAGGGCAGGGTGCACAACACAGGCCAGGCCACCACAGACAGGGTCAGAGAGAGCAGGGGGGAGGCAGGAAGAGGGGAAGCTCAGACACACCACACAGGAGCAGTACATGGGAGCCGGCACAAGGAGTGGAGAAGGGGAGGAAACTGGGACAAGACAGAGCAAGCAGGAGGGGGAAGCTGAGGATGAGAGAGACCACCCCAATCAGCTGATAGAGCAAGTGACTCCTCCAGACCAAGGCCAGTGAGAGATTCAGAGAGACGCTGACAGAGACAAGAAGCAGAGGTTGACAAGGAGACTCAGAGTGGGGAAACCTCGATACTCACCCAGTGCCCAGAGCCGGAGACGTGACAGGCAAACGTGCACAATGGTCAAGCACCTCAGACACTCAGGGCGCAGGGTGGCACCCCAGCCTCACCCTCTCCCCATGTTGTCATTTCTCTCCCCACCAACACAAACCCCTGACCCATTCCCACTTGGCCAGAACACAGACACATAGGTTTGGACACATTTAATGGAAGGATGCTATGAACAAGGGGACCCTTCCCTGGATTTGGGGGAGCAGCGGAGGAGGGTGTCATCTTTCAGACATCAAATTATGACCCTCCCTCCCCCACAGCACTGCCCTTCTGGAAGCTCAAACCCTGGAGTCCTCCTCTCCTCTGCCCTTCCCTCCCATACATCCCAGGTCCTGAATTCCAGATCAGTCAGACAAATGCATGCACACACTCGTATGTGCTAATGCGCACGCACAGAGCCATGCATAGAGAGGGACAGATGTGTGCAGAGACCCACCTGTCTACATGTGTGAGCAGACACACTGACATTTCTGGCAATGCTTCCCTACAGATTTAGAGAAGCACAGATGTGCAGAGCCACCCGCCCAACTAGCACAGCCACAAATGCATCCGCATATACAGGGTGGGACAGACCCCCTTGTCTGGGGCACATGTACAGAGCTATACATCTGGGCCTCCAGCCATATGTGCATACAGATGCATGTCATGCACACCTACAGAGACACACGTTCACGAGCCAGGAAACCTCAGCTCTGGTCATGCACACGCACACGTTCATACACCCCACAGGCACCCCATCCTGACCCCAACCCCTCCCTGCCCCTCCCCTCTCACCTCCCTGGGCCAATCCCATCCATTAAGCTTCCGAAGCAAGTCAGCCAGCAGCCAGGGAGGGGAAAGGTTTCAGTGCCCCCCTCTCCTTGCCTCCTTCTCACCTGGCCCTGCCTGCACCCCTTCCCATGCCAGTGCGAGGCATGGGATGCACACACTTCGCTGCATGTGACTGCACAGAGATGGGGTACATGAAGGAGGCAAGGGCCTCCAGCCAGCCATACACACTAGTGCCCCAGGTCCCCAGGCCTCCCCACCCTGCCCTGACCACCCTGTTGGTCTCTGGCAACCCCAGAGCTGGGCAGTCTCAGTGGCTTGGGCTGTGTTGTTTCAAGCTAACTCTGCCTTTTCCCACCCCTGGATCAACTTTTAGAAGAAGCAGATGAGGAAGGGGGCTTAGAGGTAGGGAAATATTTTAAGGTACAGAGTATTAAGGGAATTTGGGGTCAGGGGTGCCCGAGGGTGTAAGGACATTTACCTTGGGGCATCAAAGCTGTCGTAGGAGCCCACGGTATAATGACGGAAGAGTCTCTTTGCCTTGTCACTGCGGCTTTCTGCAGGGGCATAAGGGATGACCTTGGACCCTTGCTTTGGAAACCATGAGCCCACACCTGGACTCTGGGCTCAAGCTTTCCCACCTACCTCCCACCACCCCATCCCCATCAGGAGGGAGAGAGGAAGGGGCATGACAATCCTAGGGCACACTGGGGGTGCTTGGGTGCTCCTCATTACCTTGCTTTCCCTCCTGGGAGCGGTTTGCCACCTCTTCCAAGCAGTCAGAAGGGAACCAGCCGACGCGACCTTTGACCTGGCCTTCCCAGAAGCCTCCTTCCCCGATGCTAAGTACTGGATGGGGAACAGGGACATAGAAATGTTTCTGTGTTTCTGTGCTGCTTCCCAGCCCCAACACACTCGATGCACAGCCTTCTCACAATTCCCAGAACCTGGCCCAAGGGCATTCTTAATAGATGTCTGAAGAAGAGGCAAGGGGGTTGCATTCTCACTTTCTGAATCCAGAGGGGAAATGAAGAGGCATTGAGGAAAAGGATTGTGTGCTGTGACATGGTCCTCACAGGTTAGGCACAGGTCCACAATTGGTCCTCGTCTCACCTGGCAACTAGTCACAGCTCAGATGTGTTAATTTCCCTAAGCTTTCCTAGGATCTGTGGACTTAGATCACCACCGTGGGGACAAGATCTACCCCATCTTGCCATCATTGCCCCTGCCACTTCCCCAAATCTCCTTGTCACTTAATCTTTTGTCCTTTGCTCCCAAACTCCCCGCTCCATCTCTCTTAGCCTCCCCTGGCTCTAGAAGGGTAAAGAGACAAGAATCCCTCTTTTCCTTCTCTCTACCACCCATAACTGGAGGCCGCTTCCTCCCAGCCCCACCTCTTAGCCATTTAGCATACATTTACTGACTACCTGTTACGTGCTCAGTGCTGAAGTACAGAGATGGAGGACAAGGACAGCTAATGTTTATCCAGCTCTCACTCTGGGCCAGAATCCTAAGAGGTGGCACTTTTATTATCCCCATTTTACTGATGGGGAAAACTAAGGCTCAGAGAGCCAAGGTCATTTACTCAAGGTTACAGGGTTTGTAATCAACAGACTTGGGTATGAACAGAGCTCAGTTTGTTACCAGAGCTAATGCTTTTAGTCAGTAACAAGTTGCTACCTCTCCATCCAAGGGTTTCACTGCTGCTGCTGCTAATGGCATTAGTGACAAACACAGTCTTTCACTTCGCTAGCATTTTTCATTTCTCTGTCCCCACTTGGCCTTTCACATATTTTCTCTCTTCACTCAACGCTTTCACCTGCCCAGGGAGGTAACAACTGTTTTCCCAGTTTACAGATGAGGAAGCTAAAGCTAACACAGAAAAGTCCCCTGCCAAGAGATGGCTCAGGCCACAGTAGGAGTGGAGTAGGGGCCAGCCGATGCTTTTTCCTATACAAACTGCCTCTCCTGAGAGGATCTGGGGAAACCAAATGAGGGGAAGCTTAAGGCTATGGAAGAGAGCAGGAGATGGAGTGTCAAGGGGTCTGGGTTCTTTGCTGGCTCTGCCATGGCTGGCTGAGGGGTTTGTAATCAATCATTCATTCACTGAACAAATACTTATTTAGGGCTGGTCATGAGTCCGGTACTGGAGTAGACACTGTTAAGCACAGCCAATGTGGTTCCTCTCCTCATGGAACTTCCAGACCAGCGGCCATTAGAATTGTAACTGTACAAGGGACTGCGTGATAAGAAAATTGAGGTCGGTGCTCAAGAGAAAAGAATATGGTGTTGGAGAGAGGCCAGATGTGACATATAGGCTGAGACCCGAAGGATCCTAGGAGTTCAGGAGGCAAAGAGAGCAAGGAAGCGTTTTTCAGGCGTGTTTGAAGAATTTGGTGTAGAAAAGGGCTTGGGGCACTTGAGGAATGGAGAGGATGAGACTCCTGGAACACTGGGTGAAGGGAAGAGCAGCGCGAGACGAGGCTGGTGAGGTGCGCGGGGAAGGGCGTGGAAGCCAGGTTAAAGCACCGGGCTTTGATTCTGAGAGCAGGGGGAGCCTGCCACCTCATCAGGCTGTGCTGAAGCTCAGTGACATTGTGGAGGTGGCCATGCTTTGAGGTAATTAAGTCCCTTTTAATGAAAGAGGTTGGGTATAAAAGCAGAGGGCAGTCTGTCCTCTCTCTGCATAGAAGTATTGGGCTTGTAGTTCAAAAAGACACAATGGCGGGGGGTGGTGGGGTGGTGGGCAGGCACTGGCCGATTAGCTCAGTTGGTTATGGCGTGGTGTTATAACACCAAGGTCAAGGGCTAGGACCCCCATACCGGCCAGCTGACAAACAAACAAACAAATGAAAGAAAGACACAATGGAAGATATGGCCCATGGTCCTCTGCCTGCCTGGAAGGTCCTTCGCCCCTGGATTCAGCTTCCCTTTCTTCTTTCCCACCTCCTGCTACTCCCCAGGCATGCTGGCTCTGAAGGAGCTGCACCTGGCCCCCACAGTTAGCTCCTGCATTTGCTCATTCATTCATTCATTCATTCATTCACTCACGAAATGTGTGTTGAAGCCTCCTGTGTGCTGGGTCATTAAACTGGGCCCTACTGACCCAGAGACCAATGACCTGTGACCTTGCCTGCAGGAACTCAGGCTATGGGGAGACAGACTATGAACAGATGCAATTACACAACCTGCCTGATGCTCTGATGCCTGAATTCCCTTCAGGGCCTCACTCAAGTCTACCTCCTATGAGAGGACTCTCCCTGCTTGTCCGGGTAGCCCAGTCTCTCTCCTCTAAGTGCCTATAGTAGAGGGTGCATATGATGGCTCCTACACAGAGCTTATTATGTGCAAAGCACTGGTCTAAGTGCTTTACACAAACTGGCTCTTAATCCTCACAAGGGTCCCATTTTACAGATGAGGAAACTGAGGCCCAGAGAAGTCACTTGCCTGAGGTCACTCTGCTAGGAAGTGATGGAGCCAGGACTTGAACTTAGGTAGCCTGGCTCTCAACCAAGACATCGCTCGGCTCCTGGGCAGCCTAGAATCTGGCAAAGAATTGCTCTTCTGCCTCGTGTTAACTACCCTGTCTGTAGTGTGCTTTCTGGTCTCCAAAGCTCTGCTCTATCCAAGAACACACATCAACAGCTGTGCAAAGTCTGTAGGGGCAGACTGGCACCATTTTCCAGATGAAGACAGGAAAATCAAAGAGATGAATCCCAATAACAGCAGCCACCATTTAGGGGGCCCTCACCATGGGCCAAGCTTTGCACACCTGCCAGCTCATTAGAGCCTCATGAAAGAGACACCTCCCATTTGTCAGATGAGAACACTTCATCTGAGGAGGAGGCAGAGGCAGAAGGTGAAATCGAGGCTGCTTGGCCTCTCTCTCTGCACAAAGAAGTGGGAGAAACCTTGGGATTGGACTGGGGACCTTGGGCAAGTTGGTTCACCTGTGTAAGGCTCTGTTTCTTCAACTGTACAATGGAGCTCCTGACACCATCCTAAAAGGGTCATCAGGAATCTAATGAGACTACCTGGGTGAAATGCTACAGCCGTGCTCAGCATGGTGTCAGTGTCCAACGAGTGCTCATTTCCCCTCTTTCACCTCCATACTGCCTCCTAACAGTGACATGATAGCTATTCTTTATGCTGCTCCAAGGCAGAAGGGGCCTCCTGGGGCTCCCCGAGGACTCCAGAGTGCATCGGACATTCTAAGTGCTGGAGAATTATTTGTCTCTCGACTGTCTCCTCCCCAGTTGTGGAGCTCACCCACCCCAGCCCTGCCTCACAGCTCAGCCCAGGAGCTGTATTACCTTTGATCTTCTCGCCCTTGCTCAGGGAGATCTCCCCCTCGGCTTGGGCCTGGTATGACTTCACAGCCATGAAGGAGCGTCCGGGTACTGCTGAGTAGAGCTTCCTTCTCCTCCCACGGCTGCCCAGGGAACCCCCAGGGCCCCCAGAGCCACCTGTGCCCCCGGCTGGCCCTTCCCGGGGTGTCCCGCTGGAGCTGCATACACAGAGGGTGTGAGAGGCAGGGGAGAGCGGAGGGAGGGGGCACCTCTGAGAGAACAGGGGTCCTCGGGTGGGGAAGGAGGATGGAGCGTTAGGGTGGGGAAGGGGGTTGAGTGGGCTTCCCAGCTCTGGCGTCCTCAAGGGAAGGGGAATAGGGCATTTGGGGGCTCCCTCTGCCTTCCGCTGCTGCCCCTCAGCCCCCTCTCCTGCTTCCCGGCTTCCATCTCTGCCCCCTCCCACGGTCCTGCACGCACTGCCTGATTCAGCTTCCTGAAGCTGAGCTGGGACTGTGTCATCCCTCAGCTCACGAGTCTTCAGCAGCTCCCAGCTTCCTCCTGGGTCAGATCCAACTCCTCTGCCTGCCATTCGCAGCCTGTCTCCCACTTCCTCAGGACATGCCTGGCCAGCCTCGGCCTCACTTCTCGCCCCGCTAGCCAGGTTGGCTTCCTTACCTCAGAATGTTCCCTGCCCATCCTCCCCTCTGCCCTCAGAGTGGTCTCTCTGTTCCACCCCCTGCATACCCTTCCCATCCTCCAAGCTCATCCCCAATCCCAGACACTCCTCCCCAAGTCCTTGCTCCCCCATCCTCTTCTGGCTCAGCTTCCTCTCACTCGCTCTGTCGTTCTGTCTGTCCTCAGGGACTAGAACTCACATTTTTGGGGGGTACCCCCTGCCCTAGCCCCCTGCCATGGAGCAGGTGTTCAGCTAAAATTTGGTGCATTTGGAGATGGGATCAGGAGAGTAGCTCACAATGCCCTCACTTCGCTCAAAGATGAGGCTAACTAGGGGCTTGGCTGGATGGGGAACCCACCACTCTCTCTGGTCAGGAGGTAGGCACCTGGGCTGGCCTTGGGGGAAGTTGCAGCCCCAAGGAAGGGATTCAGCTGGGTTGGGGACTGTGGGACAAGGGCTGAGTCCTCCCCTACCTGGGCCGTCCACGGGGCTGCCTCTTGGCCTCCTCGGGGTGCCTCCCACGGGATGGGGAGCGGGCCCGGGCGCCCCGGGGGCTGCTGGCACTTCGGAGGGTCCCACTGCTGAGCTTGGTACTGGGAGCTGAGGGCTGTGACTGGCCCTGGGGCCCTGAGGTAGGGCCTGGGGCCCCAGAGGATGAGGTCCCCGGGGCAGAGAACACCATCCAGTCAGGCAGTGCCATGCTGGTGTCACTGTTGGCCCGCAGTAGTGCCGGGGGCACTGTTAGCCCTGTGCCTGGGGGTCCCCGTCTCCGGGCTGCATACTTGGGAGACTCCTGGAAGGGCACTGAGAGGGCACAGTGGCAGGTGGGGGGCAGATGTAGTGGGGGAGACGGGGGAGGTGAGGGCAGGGAAGAGGCATGAGGGAGAAAGATAGAGATGAGAAAAAGTGGGGACCTGGAATCACTCCCCCACCACTACTCAGACATTCTTGGTCTTCCGGGGTTTTCGCCATCCCATTCTGGCACCCAAATCAGGTTCCCCAACTCCCCAATCCCACCACGAACCTTCAATTGCCCAGGTTCTTCCCTTAGCCCCAGCTCACACTCACTTACCCACATCCTGTTCTCGATGGTTTCGGATCAGCTCCCCCAGCTCAAAATTCCCAGCAATCACTGCCACCTGGAGAGTCGGGGCATAGGGAGCTGGAGTGGCCCCAGCAGCCAGGAGAGGGCAGGAAACAGTGCGAGGTGCCCCGCCTCAACCCAAGCCTTCCACCCTGCAAATCTTCCCTCTCTTTTCTTCCGGACCACTGGCCTTTCTCCCAGCATTCCTAGCTGTTCCACCTTCTTTACCCCCTTTGTCTTCTTCGTCCCCCCTTAACAGCTCCTACAGCCTCAGCACGCTTCTCTCAGCCCCAGACCTGAAAGGGGGTCTGTCCATTGTTATTCTTCACATCCTTGTTGGCCCCACGATAAAGAAGGATCCTGGCACAGGTCTCCTGGGGGTGATGGCCGGTGGCACAGGACGAAGAAAGTAAAAAAATTAAGGTCACTATAAGAAGACACAGGCACTGTGCTAAGAACTTCAGGAAAAATCTGACCTAAACTTGCACTGCTCAGGACAGCAGCCACTTGCCAGATGTGGCTCATAAACATTTTAAATGCAGCTGGTCCAAATAGAGATGTGCTGTGCATGTAAAATACACACTGGATTTCAAGGAAATAGTACGAAAAAAAAAAAGAATTTAAATATCTCTAAGTTTTTTATATTGATTCCACATTGAAATGATATTTTGGATGCATTGGATTAAATAAAATACACTACTAAAATGAATGTCTCCTGATTCTTTTTCCTTGGTCATTAGGATATTTAAGGACATTTAGTACATGGGGCTAGTGTTATACTCTATTGGACAGCACTAATCTAAACCAGGGTTTCTCAGTCTCTGCATTACTGACATTTAGGTCCAGATGATTCTTTGTCATGGGGGGCTTTTCTCTGCACTGTGGGATGTCGACTAGCATCACTGGCTTCTACTGCTAGATGCCAGTAGCACTCCCCTCCCTGGTCATGACAACCCAAAATGTCTCCAGACACTGCCAACTGTCCCCTGAGGGGCTGAAGCATTCAGGTTGAGAACCACCAGTCTAAACCTTATGCTGGGCTTATGATGCATGTCAAGCACTCAGCATGTTAGAGGCAAAAGCTCACTGAGTTGCCCAAGTCCATGAGATGAAAACTATTTTCCCTGTTTTACAGACAAGGAAACTAAGGCTCTCAAAGGAGCTCAAGGTCACATGGCTGGTGACTATCAGCGCTTGGATTTGAACCTGGGTGTCTGACTCCAAAGTCTTTGATCTTAATCACTCACTCTGCCAGACCCAGAAAGAAGGGAGCACACATCACAGAGGACAGGGGGGCCAGGAAGGGGCAGTGGGGGCAGAAATGTCATTTGCATCCATATCAATTCCTTACCAATGTCACTCATACATCACTCCTCATCAATCTTTGGCAACGTCCTTGCCATGGCCTAGGAAGTCTCACCTGAGCTGTCTGCACTGCCACCCCCTAAACCCAGCCTCACCACCTTTATCTTCTACCACTTTCCCTTGCTCCCCAAGCTCCAGCCACATGGGCCTCCTCCTTTCTCCAACAGGGATGTTCCTGCCCCAGGGCCTTTGCACCTGTTGCTGCTGCTGCTTGGAATTCTCTACCCCTAGATCTCTGCATAACACTTTCTCCCTGAAATTCTGCTTTTTATTTTGTTTGTCACTTTAGCACTTCTCCCTGCCCCCTTATATTGTAAGTTACAGAGGCATCCACTGCCTGAAATAGTGCCTGGCCCACAGGAACTGTTTAATAAACATCACTGAATGGGGAATGTCCTCTCCCCATTTTCTTGGCCCAGCCAAACGCAACCTGGCTCCAACTCCACTTTAGCTTTCTCTGTTGCTAATTTAACTGGCATTCACCAAGCACCTCCTTGGTCTCACCTCTTTCACATGACAAATTCACCAGGGATGCTAGTACAGGCCCATCCTACCGGACAGGCTCAGAGAGGGCAAATTCCATGCCTAAGGCCACATAGCTAGCTAATGGGGCAGTTGGGATTCCAACCTGGCCTTGTGATCCTATTGCTCATCTGTCGCCTGTGAATGGATGACTCCAATTGCCGAAGTCATTAAACAGCAGAGTCAGCCTAGTGAGTATTCTGGGTGTGTGTGTGAGTATGCTCGTGTATGCACATGCTGTCCCTCCAACTAGACTGTTAACTACTGCCATGTGTATTTTTGCATATTTTCACACACCCGTGACCCTCACATTGGGGGCCACAGGGCCAGAGCATCGTCCCCAGCTCATCAGCTCTTTATCCTACTCTTACAAAGCTGAGGTGTCCAGGTCTAAGTTAGTGGCTCCCTCCACTGGGCACCTAGCGAACCTTGTATTTACTGGCATTCTAGCACTTACCTCTTATGGTAATGCAATTATTTGTTTACACATCTGACTCTTTACCAGACTGTGAACTGCCCACACCCTCCCCAGGGCAGGTGCCAGTCTGATTCATCTCACATTCCCAGCACCTGGAAACAGGCACACAGTAGGTGTTCAGGAAACATGCATGGAGAGGATGAGGATGGAGGATGTGGGGTCAACTCAGTCAAAATTCATTCGTTCAAGTCATTCATTCATTCATTCATTGAGTTCTTGAATCTGTTGAAATAAGCAAACACCTGTTAAATGTTCTGAGCCAGGCACTGTGCACAGTGTTGGCAGAAATACAAGATGGCTGGCCCATCACTCATTCATTCATTCAACAAAGATGCATGTGGGCCTACTATGTGCTAGAGCCTTGCTTGGGACAGAGCATTTCATCAGATTCAGCCGCAACCCTTGAGAAGCTCACTGCCTAGATAGGTTTCTGACCTTCACCACCAGAGGCTAGAGGGGAATATCAGGAGGCCAGGGAAGCAGAGAGTGAGGAAAAACTATCAGACCCAGCCCTGGCTCTTGGGAAGCTTAAAGCCTGAGAGGGAAGACAAGGGAAGTGAAGCAGAAAATGGGCTCACATTTGTTAAGCATCTATTTGTTAAGCAACATGCCAAGAGCAAGCAAAACATTAACCCACTCAATCCTTTTGCACAGTGGGTATTAATTACTGACCCACTTCACAGATGAGAAAGGGGAAGCTCAAGGAAGAGAAATGATTGCTCGTTTGATCCACTAAGAGTAATTGTGCCTGCTATGTAATACTTCATATTAAATTTTCCCTGTTCAGATGAATGTTATGGTTTCTGTCTCCTGGCTGGACTCTGACTGACACTGGTAAAGACAGTAACAGTAACAATTATTATTATGGCTGCCTTCTGGGGATGAGCACTTAATATGCATGTGATCACTCATCCTCTTCAATCAGCTGACATTATTCTCATTTCAGAGGGAAGGACGGAGCATTGGAGAGGAGAAGTGGCTTGTTTGGGGCCTCCTAGTCTGTCTGGAGCTTGGACTTCTTTCTGCACAGGCCCTAGAGTCAGAGGATCCGGTGTGAGGTCCCTGTCAGGGAGCTGGAGAGACAGAAGCATGTGGGGAGGGACAAACACTGAGTCCTCCCTGGGTGCTGAGAATACTGCTTGCTGCCACAAGGCAGCAGCTGGCTACCTGCCAAATCCCCAGCACTGCAAGTTCTGATGAGGCAGAGGGGCAGGGAGCTGTTTTGGAAGACTTCCTGGGGGAAGGGGGCTGACAGGCCAGCAGTGTCATGCCAGGCACTGTCCCGCTAAGTCTCTGCAGCAGCCCTTCAAGGGCAGAGAGCATCAAGAAACAGGTGGGGAGACTGAGGCTCCCAGGGTGGCTGACTTGCCCAGAATCACCTGGAGCTCAGGTGGCCAAGGTGCCAGGGGTCATGTAGCTGAAAGCTCCAGCTCTTGCCAACTGGCTGCCACAGTACAGCTCCAGCTGGCTATGTGAGACCCCCTACCTGATCTTTATCGCTTGACTCTCCTGGGAACTCCTGAAGTGGGGACCGTCCCCTCCCAGCCCTGAACTGCTAAAACTTGCAGCACACTGTAGTCCCCTCCAGAGGCTGTGCTTTGGCCTTTCATCTGTCTCCTGCTGTGCCAGCATGCAGCACCCACACACATTGCTGGCTGAATAGATATGCTCGGGAAGTGAGGACCCACTGAACTTCTTTCTCTCACCTTCTGTAATGGTCCCCACCCTCTCTCTTTTTTTGCACAGGCTGTGCCGTCTGCCTAGAGCATCCTTTCTCCCCTCTTCTACTCAGACAACTTATGCTTGTCTTACCACAGGCAGCACATCCTCCAGGAAGCCACCTCCACTCCCAGCCACCCCACCCCAAGCCTACACCCAGATTTGAGCTCCCACAGGGATCTGGATTCCCAGTGACTTCACTCTGAGCACTCTGGATTGTGATGGCAGGGTATGTCATCTGCCCTCAGCTAGGCCTCAATGCTTTGTCCCCTGCACCCAGCTCTGGGCCTGACACAGTGAAGGAGCTCGCTAAATATTTGTTGAATGAATGAATGAGTGGATGGATAAGTGGATGGATGGATAAATACATGAATGAATGAAAGAATGGAAATAGTGAAGGAACAGAGGGTGCAGAGGCTGGGAGGCTGGAGTCAGGAGGAATGCCTGAGTGAGGCACTGGGCAGGAGGCTGTGGGTGGGTGTGAGGGTCTGGGGCAGGCACTGCTAGGGCAGACCTTGTTGTAGAGGGCACAGATGTGCAAGGCTGTGTTTCCTGAGGCGTTCTGGGCTCCGGGCTCAGCCCCATAGAAGAGCAGGTGTTCCAGGTGCTGAGAGTGACCCCGCTGGCAGGCCTGGGGAGGGCATGGAGTGAGAGGGCTGAATCAGACCCAGGCTGGAATCCTCCAGGTCCTTCTCCCTTGGGACCCAGTGTTTGTCTATATCCTCCATCTCAAGTCCAGGAAGCCCCACATCCACTTCCCCTTCTCCTTTTGGTCTCTGTTCCTGCTCAGGAACTCGGATTGTCAGCTTCTCAGGCCTGAATGTTCAGTCATTCAAGGCCCAGATGTCTGATCTGGCTGCTTAAAAGGGACAAGTGGCCAACCCTATTCATCTCAGGGATCAAGATGGCCAGTTCCCTCTCCCATGCCCCTTAGGACTCTGGTGTTCGCACCTCCATCTTTTCCTCTTTGGGAACCACACTATTTGCACTGACACCCTCTATGAAGACCCCAGCATCTGGATCCCAATCCCAGCCCCTCGGATGTGTCAGGGACCAGGCATTCCCCACCCCAGCCCCTCGTGGCCATGTCAGGAGTACCTGGTGGATCTCCTGCCAGCCGTTTTCATCAGCTATGCCCAGCTGGGCCCTGTTGTACAGAAGCAGCTCACAGCATCGGGGGTCACCTCCCACCATAGCCGTGTGGAACAGAGGGGTCAGCCCCCGGCGGTCCTTGTAGTTGGGGGAGCCCCCAAGGTCCAGGAGGGCCTAGGAATGAAGAGAGAGCCCAGGAAGAAAAGACAGATGACAGTCATGCAAGAATGGGCTCATTCTGAAGGGTCAGTGGGCTGGGGAGTCCTGGATAACCCACACTGGCCAACACCAGTCTCGGGTCTGCCATGATGCCCTTGTGTGTCCTTGAGCCAGCCCTTTCCCTCTCTGGTCCACTCAATGCCCTGTGAACAATGAGGAGACTGGGTAGATGCTTCTAGAGGACCCTCCTGCTCTATTAATCATCCTACCTAACCTTTCCTCTGTGGGTGACCTTGAATGAGCCATTGAAGGATGTCAGTAGCCACAGTGCCCACTTATTCTACAGGATGGTAGTTGGGGACAAATGAGAGAATAGAGTCTGGGTGCAGGAAGGGCCTTGACCAAGTGGGAGGAGTTATTAGAACCAGGATCCTAAAGATGGGGCATAGAAAGAAGCCTGGGAATGGCAAGCTTGAACCAACCTCATTGGGGATGGGAGTGGGTGGGGAGTGGGCCTACATAAGGGACAGCTCTGGGCATAGATGGCTGAGGGCACAGAGAAACTAACAGGAGAAAGTGTTGGTGGCAGCCTTGTGTGAGGACAGCCTGTAGGAACAAGAAAATGTTCCTCAGTGATGGAGACAGTCTACAACTGCACCATCAGTACGGCAGCCACACACGGGCTATGAGCACTTGAATGTGGCTAGTGAGCCAAAGGAACAGAAATTTTAATTTTACTTCATTTTAATTAATTTAAATTTAAACAGCCTCACATGGCCAGTGGATTGGACAGGGAAGGTCAGGAGGCTGGGCGTGTGTATGTGCATGCATGTGTGCAGGATATGGGTTTGGGGGTGAGTGTGCATTGGGGGTACATGAAGAGGGTCTGTTAATCTCAGTGGGTATAAGGCAGATCTTCGTGGCTAGTGTCTGACTGTATTCAGGGTTCTTCAAGAAAGAATTTAGAGAAGAGAAGAGAGGGTCCATTCAGCTGGAGCATCTGTGAATTCAGGTGTCTATCAATGGTTATCTCTGGGGGCAGACTATCCTGACCTGTGAATGAAGGGGGATCAGGTACTCTGGGGGAAAGTGGGGAAAGAGTATTTTTTTTTAAAAGATGACCGGTAAGGGGATCTTAACCCTTGACTTGGTGTTGTCAGCACCATGCTCAGCCAGTGAGCTAACTGGCCATCCCTATATGGGATCCGAACCTGTGGCCTTGGTGTTATCAGCACCGCACTCTCCCGAGTGAGCAATGAGCTGGCCCCAAGAAAGAGTATTTTAAAATAAGACTGTGCAAGCCAACTCTGTGTATGTATTTTGTGGTTGTGTGGGGTTTGTCTATTTGGGAAGGTACATTTTAGGTGTTGTATGTGAGGAAGGGGCTGTATTTGGGGGATGAAGCACTGGGTTTGGAAGGATAGATGGAAGGGTGTTTTCATGATGTTTATGGAGGGGCTCTAGGAGCATAGGAGGGAGCTCACTCTGAATTTTAAGGAATATAAGTTGCATTTACAAATTGGGGAGACAGATATAGGGTTGTTGTTGCGCTGGGTCAGAGGGAACGGAGACATTCTGGGTATCTGGGGGACAAGGCTGTGCCTGGGGAGTCATATGATCTACCTGGGCATAGGGAAAGGGTCTGCTGTAGTTGAGGTGGACACACCTGGAGGTTCTCTAATTCAGTGCAAGGAGTGACAGTAAGGGCTGTGCATGTCAATCCGTGCAAAGGGGCTTTGTACTGGGGATATGAAAACGGGTTATTTTTAAGCAAAATGAGAGAAGTGGGGTTTGAGGAAACACAAAAGGAAAAGAAGAGAGGGTCCTGGCGTGGGGGTGGGGGGTCTGGCAGCCTCACCGTGAGAGCCAGGCAATGCCGGGCGCATGCGGCCTTGTGCAAGGCTGTCATGCCATCCCGGGCCCGGAAGTCGATGTGGGCCCCGCCCAGGCACAGGGTTCGAATCACCTCTACGGAGCCTTCTGTCTGGGCTGCCAGTGTCAAAGGGGTCTCTGAGAGGTGGGAAAAGCCAGTCACACTCAGGCCCTTCACTCCACCTCCCACCCTTCTCACCTCCCAGATGCCAAATCCTTGGCTCGCCAGCTGTGCACCCCACCACCTCTGGCCCCGTGGCCTCCCTTTTGGGAGAATAACATGTTGGGATTGACATTGGTAAGAAATTGATTTGGATGCAGACAGCATTTCTGCCCTATAATTCTAGTCCTGGCCCCTGCCATCCTCCATGTCATGTGCCCCTCCCTACCTCCTGAATCTGAGTCATGGTAATTGGGGTCCAGCCCCTTGTCCAGCAGCCGTGCCACCTTGTCGGATGTCCCGAGCTGCACATACTCCAGGAACTTCTTCAATCCCGTCTGAGCCATGGACAAAGAGAGAGAAGACAGGTCAGTCAGAGAGCAAGGAAGAAAAACAGGGGTTTCGATCAGCGCCTTCCAGTGGAAATACACAGCGAGCCACATACGTCAATTAAAAGTTTCTAATACCTGTCTCAAAAAAAAAAAAAAAAAAGGAAAGAGAACCATCTATTGTATTAAAATCTATTTTAATGATATATGTTCTTTAATATAGCCACAATATTACTATTTGTAACAGGTAATCCACATAAAAATTATGAATGAGATATTTTACTTTGTTTTTTGGCTCCAAGTCTTGGAAATCCAGTGTATATTTCACACTCACAGCACGATTCAGTTAGGACTTGCCACACTGTAAGCACTTGGGAGCTGCATGTGGCTGGTGGCTCCCAAATCGGATAGTGCAGGTCTAGAGGAATGGAGCATTTAGGGGAGGAAAGAGTCGAATGCACAGTGTGGTGGGGAGCAGGAGTGGATAAGGAAGGATCAGGGAAGTTTTCTTCCCAAGTGTCAAGAATCCTTCACCTCTGACCAAAGCAGCCCTCCCAACTTCCTCTCAGCTCTTAGCTGATCAGTGGAAACGCAGGGGAGATACGGTCTGAGGAATGGAGGGCAAGGTACCAGGAGGATAGATATGGCTGGAGAGGAGGGGTGATCCTTGGATTTGGTAGGAATTTAGGCTATGGGATCAGGGGAACTGCTGGGTGTCTATGGTCTATGAAGTAGTCCCTAGGCAGGACACTGGACATCAGGGTTCTAGGCCAAGGAGGGAAGGAAAGGTGCCCTGAGTGGATGGGGGGGGGGGGGCCCGGGGGAAGAGAAAGAAGTGATCAAAGAAGCCAGGTAGAAATGGTGAAGGCTTGTGTATAGGGATAAGGGGCAAAAGAGGGAAGTAAGAAGAAGTTATGACAGGGATAATGGGGGATATTAGGGATCGTCCCAAATGTGATGCAGCATCTCAAGTTACGTGGGGGAGTTTGGCAGAGGAACAGAGGAGCTGGGACATGTGGAGGGCTGTTGGGAAGAGGTGGGGAGAGAAAGCAGGTGGACAGGGGCTCTGGGTGGCAGGGGTTGGGGTAGGTATAGAAGGTAAATGCCAGCAGGGTTCTCTCACCTTTGTGTGCAACTTGGCCAGCTGCTTCTCATCCAGGTTGGTCTGTTTGTAAACTCGGGTCTTGTATCGGAACTGAAGCCAGGGGAGGAGTGGGGAGAGAAACACAGAGACTTGGAATCAGAGGCCTGGGGAGTAGGCTTGGGGTGGGGAGGGTCTAACCTCTTTCTACTCCCCTTGGGTCAGCTCAGGGTTCAAGTGGAAACAGCCCTGGAGCCTTGGCTGGGCAGGCAGAGGTGTGGCAGCTGGTTTTTCTGAGAAAGCCTGGTCATTGTGGTGTATGTGTACTGCATCCCCTGCCATGAAGGAGTAGGAGTCTGAACCCTGCAGGGAATGTTCTAGAATGCCTATTGCAATTGGCAATGCTTCCCCAATTTGATGGGCGAAGAGAAGCTTGTGGTGGGGAAGTGACTTGCCCAAGGCCACTTAGCTGGTCAGAGGCACAAGGATGGTAATTTGAACTCAGTCCTCTCTGCCTCTTTCCTGTGATTCTTAGGAGATCTGGAATAGCCCAGTGGGTTTTCCTTTGTTAAGGTCTCAGATAGGATTAAAAACTGGGTAGGGGGCAATTGCATCATGGAGCATGACTTCTCTTGTCAATGAAGGGACCAGGAAGGCTGTGGACCTCACCTCCAGGTAAGGAACCCCCTTCTCAAAGGACTGAGGGTACTCCCGCAGCAGCCTCTCCTCCTCCAGGAAGTTGGCATCACGGCCTGAGGTGGCTGGCTGGAATAGGCCATAGTTGAGCACATCCTGCAGGCTTTCACTCAGGGCACAGAGCACCTGCTGCTTAGCTGTCCAGATGGTAGCATCAGGATTGAAGCGCAAGCATTTCTGTTGGGGGAGGGGACAGGCCAGGACTAGGGTGGGTCAGGGGCCAGGGATGATCCTGAGGTGGAGTAAGAAGGGAATAGAGAGCTGGGGATTGGGGGTGATTCTGCGGACAGAAGGGGGAGATAGGGAAGCATTTGGGGGTTTGGAAATGGGAGCCAAGAGGGCTTCCTGGAGGGATTCCCAGCAACAGAGGCCTCCTCATGCTCAGGCCCTGTCCTTCCCCCTCTGCTGGCCAGCAGGTGGTCACTTACTGTCTGGTGCAGGTCCGGGATGCCAATCCTAAAGACCATCATGCTGAAGTGAGCGTCGTCGGGGACAGACATGGAGCGGCCCTGGAGGCCTCGGACTGAGGCCAGGCTACCAGGTGTCCCACTGCCCCGGCTCTGGGTCCCCCGGGGGCCTCGCCCTGGCCCGTCTGGGGAGCTGTCGGATTCTGAGCCCCCCTCGGGACACTCGCTGGCACTGTGGCGTTCCTCTTCCTCGCTTGTCGCGGGGCTGTGGGTCATTGTGGGGCCACGGGGCGATGGGGGACAGCAGCATCACAGGCGGCTGCAGGGGCCAAGGGTGGCTGTCAGGCTAGAAACCCAGGAATCCTCACAAGCCAGAGGCATCACTCAGTAGATAAGTGGTCTAGGGAACCCTCCCCCTACTACCTGCTGGAGGCAGGAAGAGGCTGGGCACAGCATCAGACATGCAGTGGCCCCTCCTGCCACCCCTGCATGCACATGCACACACCTGTCCCTGCCATGCTTCTAGCATGTGTCACCTTCCCTGTCCTTGGCCTTGCTTACAGCCCCCCCCTCCCCCATGCCCCACTTTGCTGTTGACCCAGTGTGGCCATGTCCCAGAAACCGCAGAATCACCGCGGGAGCTACTGGCCCACTTTGCCAGGCCACAGAAAATGCAGCTAAAATTAGCTAAGGACAGACAGGTGGACCAACCCACCGGCATCCTGCCCTCCTGACCCCAGCCTGGCCCCTGAGGGGGATGGTGGAGAGGGAGGGGGGAGGGAAGAGAGGGAGGGGTGAAGAAAGGGGGAGGATACTGAGGTTGAGATGTAGTAAGGGAGAGACAGAGGGAGGTACGGTGAGCCTGGGGTGGTAGGAGCTGGAAGCCACATGTGCCTGGGAGCGGGTGGAGTCTGTGCAGCCAGAGTGACTTCACTCAAGTGTGGCTGACAACATGTGCAGAGGGCTGCTGGGGAATAGGCTGTCTCAGGGGAGCAAGCAGCACCGAGATAAGGATTCCATGGGGCAGAGCATTTTGCATGGGTTGTCCCTGAGGGAACTACAAGATGTGTCCTTTGGAGGCTGTTGGGCTTAAGAGGGTGTGTGGATGGATGGGGAAGGTAGCTTGGGGAGGGCTGTCCAGATGATAGTGGTGTGGTAGCCTAGGTGGGTGTGGGGTGACTGTGGATGACCTGTGGCCACCTTTCAGGGCTGGCACTGCAGGGTGGGTGGGGTGGCTTTGTCTGGTACTGGTGGCTCCACTCTGAGGAGGACTAAGGGAGTTGGAGGGAGGCTAAGAACTGAGGTGAGGGTCTGGGGGACTGGTGTGGGGGGTCATTTCCAGATCCCCAATGTTATCCCCTGAGGTGGCCTTATGAGAGTAGGTCTCTTCCAGTTGGGGTCCGTCTCCCTCGTGTTCTACCCCACACCCACCCCAGCACGTGAAACCGGAATGTCTGGTCTGGTCCCTCCCCCCCACACCAGGCCCGGCTCCTGCACCGTTGCCATGGAGATGGGAAGCAGTGGAGGGTACTGCTGACTTTGGGGGAGTGGGGATGGGCTGGGGGGTTGGGGAAGGGAAGACAAAATGTGTGTGGGGGGTGGACAGTTCCAAGCGCTGTGGGCGAGGGAGCATCTAACCATGGGCTGGCGGACCCCTCCCCCACGCGTGGCCACAGCTTCGAAGCCCCCTTCCCCTCCAGGTACACAGCCGCGCTGCCCCACCTGGCCATTTCGGAGACCCCAGCACCCTTCCAGCTCTCCTCCCCGCCCTACCCTATATCCCACCTCCTGATCTGGGGCCCGCAGCCACTCCCCCTCGGCTGACCCTGAGTGACCCCCAGCCTGGGCACTGCACTCATGGGGTGGCGGTGGGATGAAAGAAAATCTGCTCTATTCCCCCCGCGCCCCCCCGCCCGCGCGGCTGCCCCAACCCCCC